TTAAAACAAATACAAATAAAACATCTTAAAATTTTTTGAGCAAAGAACCAAGTAAAAAGTGACAAAATTGATTATGACTAGGGTCGCCCCTAGTCCAAAATTGAAAATTGATTTTTTATGGTGTACTTTAGTCAAAAAAATTTTTGGATGTTTTATTTGAATTGACATAATTCTGACATAAATCACATACCAATATTACTTTTTCTGATGCATAGCTTAAAAAAAATCAAAATCTAAAATTTCGACTACCCAATCTGAATTTTGTTCATACTCTTCACTGTGGAAACCAAAAAACAAATTCTTTATCTTAAAACACTTGACAAAATAGCGACATAATTCAGGATGAATTACTTTTTAATAATGTTTTAACATTTACGAGAAAATGTGGTTCAAATAAGTGTAAAGTATGGCCGAGATTTGGATCAAAATCAGCTATGTAGCTGACATAATTATGACATAAATTAGGTATAACTTTTGAACTTTGTCGATATGGATCTCGGCCCTACTTCACGCCCACCCTTCAAACTTATGCTGAGCAAATCTTGGTCTATCCATAAGACTTTTGATGGTACGGTGTGAATATATCCGCATTGGGTTTCTACCCGATACACTAGTTTAAGAATTCATTTCAACAGATGAATCACTTTCATTCTAAGAAACACGGGCGTTCTCAGACTATTTTTTATCAATCTAAGAGCAATTATTTAAATTAATTTTTAATAAAGCCAGTGGTACTCAAAGTATGATGTATCATTTTGTCGGAACTTCATCAAAGGTGTGTCACAGAAAGCGTTAATGGACCAACTCAATTTGCTTTAGATTCAAGATGCTTCAAACTAGAGTCCGGAATCTAGAGTTGGCTTTTTTGAGCTCATTTACACTATGAAGCCAATAAAATAAATGATTTTAAAATTTATATTAGCTGTTTATTATGCTCTACACCTACTACCATACTGGTTGTTCATAACCAGGTTTAAGCTAGTCGAGCCAAGTTTCGAACTTAATAGAATGAAATAAAAGTGTCTGATGTATCACAGAATTCGAATCGCTGCTTGAATGTATCTTGTTTCAAAATTTTAGAGAATCACTACTCTAATCACTTAATTTTAAAATAGTGATAAAGGTTTCAATTTATCCCCTGCATACGTTTTGCTAAAAACTCTGCTAAATCAAAAAAGTTTTCGTTTTCAAAAAAAAAAAATTTTTATCTCATTTTGAAAAGCAAAATGATAATAAATCAGATAAGAAGTTTGATTTTTAAAATTTACTTTAAGTACAACTGTTTAAAAAACAAAAGTCTATTTTTAAGCCAAGGCTTAAATGTTTAGCCCAGTTAAGCTTAACCATAAGTAATATTTTTTGAATTCGATGCAAATCTTAACTCAGTCGAGAAAAAAGGTCATGGAAAAATAATAAGTTTTTCCATTTAATTTGAAAAGAATGCAACAAAATCTTTAACTAAGTATTATGCCAATCATCAACTTTTTTTTCTCTCCTTTGAAGGACTTACTTCACTATGACAACGTATTTTATTCTTTAGAAATATTTGCTCTATTCGTGAAATTTCTTTTCATTTGTGTGAGTTTGTTTCTTTTTATTTTGTTGCTAAAAATATCAACAATTTAGAATTTCATTTTCGTTCCATGTTTATTTACTATAGAATTTATGCTTTGAGTTCCTCCATGATAAATTATTATTTCTCTTACATTTTGCGTTTTTATGTTGTGTATATGTAATAGAAAGTGTTTTATTTATAGATTTAAACAGCTTTTCCTTTTGCCTTATTATTATTTTTCTTCTTCTCGCTCTCTTATAACCGTACAATAGGTTTTCAATATATTATTGCGTACAATTCAGAACTGATAAATTATTTATAGCTTAAAAAGGTATGACATTTCACATTGTAGATTCATCGATCCTTGTTGGTTTCTATCATTACACTCTCGCAGCAATTATCAATATGTATACAATGAAATGTATTGGAATATATATTTTTAAAAAGATTAAATGAAAAAGGATCACGGTTAAGGTTATTCGTGGGCTACTTATACTTTCAGGCTTAATGGCATTTTCTGTTTTGAGCCTAATTGGATTTTTATTCCTTTCCGCTTTATTTTCAGCTTAATCAATAATAAATATTTGAAATGTTCTTTATGGAAAAAAAGCATATTTCCGAGTAATACAATCAAATTTTGGTTTGTTAACATTGGAATAAAGTAGTTCAGTGGTTAATTAAAACTTTGATTTTGCATTGTTTGTTTAAAAAACCTAAAGAAGTAAAAGTTTTGATCCCCAAACCCTCGGGCTAGTCCTCTAGTCCATACTTCTAGAGAAGTTAAAAAAGGATAATCCTAATTAACATAGCAGAATCATACTATTAAAGCTCAAACATAAACTACTTAGCTACTAAAATGTTATTAACTTTGAAGCTTTAAATAAATTTCCAGAATGATCCAAAAAAGATTAAAAATATAAATAAATTTCAAAAATGATTATCACAATTTTTGGTACATTTGTCAGTTACTAGGCAACTGTGTGGTAGCAACGGATTTAATGCCTTTCTGGGGAAAGTTTCATGATATCACAGCATATTGTGTGCTTTTCAAAATGAAGATTCTCTACTTCGTTCAAGGACAAAGAAAACAACAAAAATAAATAAATAAAAAAACAATAATCAAAGTGAAAGCAGGCACGAAAGTTCTTACAGCATTATTATTTGACATTTTTTTCTATTGATTGATACGAGAAGTTTAAGGTGAATATCGTGTATAATAGATAAATCGAGTGCTTGCATCATATAACAGAAAAGAAAATTGAAAAAAGCTAATAATACGTATACTGAGAATAAGAAAAGAATGAGAGATGCACTAGTATTTTTGCTTCACATGTGCTTGATTTCTGGCATGTTTTATTTTAAAATAAAATTACTGATTTAAATATAGAAAAAGCGATTCTATAATTAAAACGTTTAAAGCCTTCTTTCCTCTTCAAGATGTAATTTCTTTTGTTTTTTTTTCTTTCTTCTCTGTCTATATATACATACATGTACATTTATAATATTTTAGTACAGCCAACAAGAAGCTTCATATATTTGAAAATTGATATTCAAATGAATTCATTTAAAAAATCAAACAAATTAAAATTTCCTTTGGTGAATTAATGTCTAATTAACTCCATTTACGTGAAATCATTAACTGAAAAAAGGAGCTATTGCCGATTGTACAGAATAGTTGTACTCATAATAATAACTTTGTATACTACAGACAACTCGTCTCTACACTACTCAAGTAATACATTCGTTTGAGAAATTTTCAAGTATTTATACAGCAGAGCTTTAAGAACGACTGTAGAGATTCATTTGTTGCATTCACTAAAATTTTAAAATATCGTATGCAATGTTCATTATTGCATTATTATTTCGAATTAATTAAATCAATATGCTTGGGACATGGATTTATTGCCGAAGCTAGGGTATAGAAAGAGTGTTTGTTAACCTGGAAAAAATCAAAATATCCAGCTTTTGTATTTTTATGAAGCACCAGGGACAAGGTTCAACCGACCTTTTTTCACTCTCCTATGTCTTTGCACAGAGGTTTTCAATCATGTAATTTATATATTTGGTTAAGGAACTTCAAACTGAGAAACTGAGTCTTTAAGTCAAAATTTCGGGGTTTCAATCAAAAACCCTCGATGAATGAACTGAATGAACAGAGGAAGAAATAAGTAAGGTCCTGGAGAAGAAATATTGTCATTGTCTTAAGCATTTAATCTGTTTCTTTTTCCAGATTTTTTCTTTAGTTTAAGAGCAAGGAAGAGAAGTTTTCTTTTAAATCCAATTTTAAAACTCCTCCTCCGTACCCCACAACCCTTTCAATCGCAAATAAAGCTAGTTTATGAATTTTTTTTTTTTGAAAGAAAATCAGCTTTAATAGTAGCTTAAATATTACAATATTTGACTATATCGCTTTTTGTGTCGTAGAACAGAGTTTGACCATAACTGCACTTTTTAATTTTCTATAAAAAAAAAACCTTAAAATTATCAAACAACAATCAATTTTGAATGATTTATGACACGGCTTTCCGTTTCAAGGATTAACGTATCATCCAAGCATGCTCGTTTAAATCGGTTTTAGATATTATTAGCAACACTTTCGTTCGGTTACGTTAAAAAGAATATATTACATGTAAATGTAGATTTTTTTTTTCCATTTATATAATTATTACATGCGTAATTTTTCATTTAAGATTTTTTTTTGCTCTCCAAAAAGATTTTTTTTCAATCCCGAAAAAGTCATTAAATGTTTCACGTGATAGTAATATCCACTTGTTAGGAATGACATGTATAACAATTTAAAGAAGAATAAGAAAAAAAAATCTAAATTCTTATTAAGAAACAAATTTGGAAATGTTTGTATACATCAATGTTTTTCCTTATTCTCGTGCGCGCTCTCTTAAGCCTTTTCATATAGTATTTTTTTTTTTCATATTCGCTGTATACAAAATTCGAGACCTTGAATATGAAAAAGAAAATAAACTACCTAATGTTAGCAGAGAATATAGTATGGAGGCATTTGAAATAATTTTCTGGTGTATTGCGTGTTTTTCGTTATATTTTTTTTTGGATTTTTTTTTTATTTTGAATTTATTTAAAGTTGCCAAATGCCATGCAAAAAATAAGTACATGTATAGCATACAGTTAGAAAGAATTTATTTCAGTAAGTTGGAATAAACGAGGAAAAATAAAATTTGCACAAGTTGTTCTCCACAAAATGAGGAAGAAAAAGAGGAAACGAAAAAATAAAAATTCATGGCAGAAACGAGAAGGAGATTCTAAAAATATCCTGACGAAATCGATCAAGAGCTTTCATCTCTTATAAGAAGAAAAATTCACTTGATGATTCATTTGATTTTTTGAAAAAAAAAAAAAATCTTATCAGAATTCTCTTTTTTTACTGAATAAGCAATTAGTCGATTGTCTAAAATGTCTTTTTTGTACTCACCGGAATCGGATATTCCTCCAAACAAATGATTATTGTGTTCATTATTCCCAGGACTTGTTGACATTTCTGTTTTTCTTAAAAATTATTACTAGGAATATACAAAAAATCTTTTTTTTCCTTAGAAATTCTTTCAAATTTTCTTTGCTACAAAATATTCACATAAAAAACCAATTTACACAAAAATTTTACTTAGTAAATTTTACATATTGTTATGTATTATACACTTATCAATAGAAAAGTGTTGTTAAAACTATTAAATTTTAACACAAATTACGCAAAAAATAGAGTTTTAAATTCATGATAAACTAGTACAAATTTCACTGACAATTCGATGTCGCAGGCGCTTTCCTCGTGCTGTCTGTGCTTACAATTATCAAAACGCTTAATGCTTCTATCCATTTTGGAATTTCCTTTATAAAAGCTTTTTCAAAAAGTTAAAAAAAAACATTTTAGGGGGTCTGGGGAGGGTCTGATGCTGCATATCAACTCGAGCAAATCAAATTATTTTCGCAATATTTTTTTATGTGTCAACAATAGGGATGTGGGGTGTCAGATATCTCTTTCTCATTCTTTCATATTAAGTAAATGACTGAAATTGAGATTCAACATCAACTTTTGATTAATTTCAAATTTTTAATCACTAATTAGAACAAAGTGCCTTAATTATTTAACTTTTTATGAAAATTGTGTAACAAATTGCTTTACCCATTTTCAAATATTCCATTTCAGTTATTCTTAATGTTAATCCTGCATGTTCGCACCGCATAGCTAATTTATATCAAGTTTAATCCATCTTTCTAATGAGTCACGTGTTTAGCACGAGGCGATTTTGAATAACTTTTGACAATAATTTTATAACGACTTGACTATCCCATATTAATCAAACTATTATGACTATACGGTCAGGACATCAATGAGAATGTGTTCAGTCTAGTATACTAATTTTTCATTTGTTATTATTTTGAATGTAAGGTTTTATGCTGCACAGAAGTAAGTTTGAAATATTTCCCAACGTTGCGAAACTTAAATTAATTTATTGTTTGTTTTTTAAATCAAATGATTGTCGTATTTGCTATACTCAACACATATTTCTTTCATTTCCATGCATTACAAGTTAGTAAAATTAATAAATCAAACAAGTCGTTAAAAATTGATTTTTGAAAATAATTTTTGAACTTTCAAACCATAACGGTTAAAATAAATTCAAAATTATCCAATACCAATACAAAAAGTCAAAAAAAAAATTGTAATCCAAAGCAAATAGTTTAATTTAAAATTATCGAGTTTCTACGCAAGATAAATAATTTACGATAAATTAAAATCGTTTTATAAGTATTAAATTATTGGAATAGCATAAAAGTTGTTGGAAAATTGTGTGAAAAATACGAGAAAAATTGAATAAGAAAAAACAAACAAAAATTTTATCAAGGAAAAGTTGGTGAAAATATTGAAAAGGATTAATTATTGCACAAATTAATAAAGCTAGAACAACGAAATAAGTTATATACAGTTTAAGTAAATAGAAATAGAAGTTAAAGCAGTCGAGAGTGTTGGAAAAACTATGATCTAAAAAGAAGGTTTGTATTTTCCCCGTACTCCTTTTTTTTCGTTCATTTTTTGGAGTGGGAGTTTGGGTTGGATTTTTATGTATATGAGTATAAAATAACAATTTTCCTCTTCAGATGGCTTCGCAACAATTTTCTTTAAAGTGGCATTCTCATTGTCAGCATTTGGCAAATTCTTTTAATGTCCTGAGAAGTGAAGATGAATTTCTGACTGATGTGACATTATGTTGCGATGGAAATAAGCGTCTTCGTGCGCATAAAATCATCCTTAGTGTATGCAGCACATACTTTCGTGAGACCTTTATGGAGAATCCCTGCAAGCATCCAGTAGTAATTTTTAAGAATGTTAAATTTGACGATCTCGCAAATATAGTTGAATTTATGTATCGTGGTGAGGTGTCGATAAGTCAAGATTCACTATCATCGTTCCTTCATGTCGCTGAAATGTTACAAGTTCGAGGACTTTCAGAGAATCAAGAAATTGTGCCGGAAAAGTCAATAATTGCAACACCAGTTTCGCAATCTGAATCACTATTCATTTCAGTCCCCGATGGAAATAAAATTCTACTTGCAACGCCACAAAATATCTCAAATCAACAGCAAACCACAACAAGTAGTCTCATAAAGTCACCGATTAAAATTGAACAGACTCCAGTGCAGCACATAAAGACAACTTATATTGATCAGTCGTCACTTGGAAAACGTAAAAGGTTTACAATAAAGGAAGCACGTCCAGCCAAAATACCCGCCAATACATCAAACACAACTACACAGCAATTTATTGCAGAGGCTGTAGATAATTCATTTTCAAAGCAAGAAGCAGTCATTGTAGATGAAAATGGAAAGGAATCAGTTTTTGAAGAAGTTGAATATCTCACGATGAAATCAAGTATGCCAGAGTGCAATTATGTCGTTAGTGCAATAGAAAATACAGAACAGAGTCAGGATAATATGGAAGAAGAAATGGCATTGATGCAAGAGACATTTGAGATTATTGAAGAAGGAAAACAGCAAATGGGCGATGAAGTTGTTGGCGATGATCAAGGAAATGCAAATACGACATTATCATCAGGCGATGGAGGAACTGAATCAAGTGAGTATTAGAATTAACATCTTAAGTATTACTTTGAAGAAATCTGATAAGATTCTTATGTTATAGAAACGGAGGAGAAGACAGGCGAAGAGACCAATAGTAAGTGGACACAGTGTCAGTACTGTAAGCTTGTAATTACCTCTGTAAATCTATGGCGACATGTCCGAACACAACATACATCGCAACCCCCCAGAAAATGTGAGTATTGTAAGAAAACATTTAAGAACAAGTACAGTTTAAGGGAACATGTTCGAATAAGTCACGAAAGCAAACAGAATGCCACAAAAACGGAGAGTGAAAATGAGGAAGCAACAACGACGTCCACGGCAACAACTCAAGCTACCGAAACAACCGGTAAAGTAATTTATCTTGAAAAGTTATAAGTGTTGACGACGCCATATTTTACCACTATTTAAAGTAATTAATGATTCTTAGCTGAAAAAGAAATGAAGTAATTTAAATGAAAAGTACAACATTCAAATCTAATGAAATGAAAATTTAATTATAATAATAATAATAATGATTTAATGATAGTATGTATGTACGTACGCAGAAACATTACTGTTCATTCATACACATGCACAGAAATGTGTGTCATTTTTGAAATTAGTAGATTCTAAGGTTGATTTATAGTGAAAATGTCCTTAATATTTAATAATAGTCGTTAGGATTCACTCTAGAGATTCGATAAGACATTTAGAAACATAAGAAAACGTTTAACTCCCTCTCACTGTCCTCATACCTCGTCCCTATTCATCCATAATTTATTTTTTTTTATGTTTCATTCGACGGTGCATCTTAATGATAAGCTGCTATACTTGGCAGTGGTTTGAAATGAATTTGATTTAAAGTTTGAATAGCTTAAATAACGGAAAAAGTATATTTGAAAATTAAAAGTCCGTTGAGAATCTGTCACAAAAGTTTTCAAATTTGTGAAGAAAAGTTTATGTCGGAATTTGAGTGGATTTTTGCAAAAAAAAAATACAAAATGAGCATTCAAAATTGTTGAACCAAATCATTCCAAATTACTGCTAAGGATATCCTTTAAATTCAATTCTAATGTACTTTAGTCATTTTCTCCCCCAAAATTCTCAATAATTTGACCTTTTTGTGAAGCTGTGTAGTAAATTAAGGGATGATTTTTTTCGTGTGTAATTGTGAAGTTTACTGCTACATAAAAATATATGATAAATATGAAGAAAAAAAATAAGATTTTAATGTCAGTTTTAAATGAAAATGCACTTTAGATCTTAAGAAGTTTAACTTTCATGAATTCGGACCTAAAATGATGCCAGCTTTGAAATTTTGAGGCAAAATTGCTTTCAATTATTTTAATACTAAGACAATTCCTACTAATCCTTAACAAATTTTTATCTAGGAGCTTTTAAGAGACATCAATAGATTTGATGATGCTCATTTTATAATTCTGTTCCTTAATTTTCCAGCTGATTTAACACATCAATGGGAAATTATATATTTGAGTCTAAAAGATTCAATGGATAATTTTGTCTTTATATCCCAATTTTTTTTAGACAATTTTGATTAAAGTCTCAGTGCTGCATCTTTTAATTCCATCTGACTTATCATAAAAGCGTTTACCATTTTTCATTGTGTGTAAAAAGATTTCCTTTTTCTTGAAAGAAGTTATATCTTAAATAAAAGATGTGAAATAAATTTGTAAGTAATCACAAAAGAATCAATATAATTTTGTGAATTTTAAATTTACAGCATGTCTTGATCCTTAAAAAGAAAGTTTGCAAGCAAAAATAATGTAAACTTGAATGCTGTACTTGCATGCAATTAAACTTGTACGATAAACTTGTTTCGAAATTTGGGGTCTTTTTTAAATGACGTTGTATTGGTATAGTTTTCTACATTTTCGGACATCATTTGCGAATGGTTCGAAAGATTCGAAATCACATTTCAAACCAAAACACAATGATTCAGATTTGAAAAAAATGTTCAAATAATCCTTGTGCATAATATTTTTCAGACACATTGAAGTAATGAAATTTTTTATTGATATTCTCTAGTTTAGGACTTTTAATGCCTTTAATCTTACTTGATTATTGATTCCTCAAAATATTAAGTCATGAAATTGAGGATAAATAAGTTTTTTTTTACAAATTTCACAAATGTTTATCAAAAAATTTGGCGCACGATAGTAATTTGTATGAAAAATTAACTAATTTTCAATCGCAAATATCTCGCTTCGGGCATATTTGGGCATGTACACATTAATATGGAAGGTTAATTAGACTTTGTTCTTTATATTTAAATAGGTTTGGTAGAAGCGGAAAGACGCGAATTTAACTTATGAGTGTTTAAAGTCTTGGTAAATTTCAAAAAAATTAATCATGTATATTCGCCCAATTAATAGGTTTTCTTTTGGTTTCTTCACACAAACACAAAGTACTAAGCTTAATTAAGCTGGTTATCAGGATTAAAACAAGAAATTTGAAGTGGAAAGGAGAAAAAATTTAAGAAAAATATTTGTTGTCATTTTGTAAACAAATTTATTGGCATCTTAAAATCGAATTTTTGTGAATTAGACAACAAATTGGAATGTGATATTTTTACAGAACATAAAACACATCATGTTCTTTAATCTGGCATTTAAAACATATAGTTTAATTAACTTGTTATTTTTGAATTTTTGAACATTTTTTTCAAATCTGAATCATTGTGCAAAACAAATAGCCAGAATTGAAAATTATCCAAAAATCAGTTGATTCCATTTATTTAAGGTGCAATTCAAAAAACAGCATATTAATCAAGTTGTGACTGAGATGGATAGAGTTTTTCCAAGTCTGTAACTCTGTATAATGTTAATATTTAGTCATTTGGTGAAACGTAGCAACAAAAATTTAATAGAGAGCATCCTCAAAGTCAGTAGTTGCCAATTCTATAACTTTGCAAACAAAAACAAAGTTTTAGACATGAATCAAGTGTATTTTAAGCATGACAAGGCTGATGCCAAAATGTTGATTAGCTTCCGATATGTGAAACAAGTAACAGAAACTAAGATATTAGACAGGAATTTTAATTTCGTGCGCAGCATAAATGAATCAGTTGATGTAGCACTAAACAGAATAAGATCTAATCTTCAAAAGGAAGTGACAGTTAAAAGCAAGAAAAAGAATAAAAAGAATATAGCTGAACAGCAGGAAGTTAAGGAACCTGAAGATTTACAGGTACTTTAAGTTGTGAATCTATAGTTTACTGGATGTTAATTTAATGATTTTTAAACAGGTTACTGTCAAGCTGTTTTTAAATGAAGAAGAAGTAACTGAGAAAACATTTGAGGACTTAATTCCACAATTTGAAGAAAATGAAGATCAATTCCGAATGCTCATCCTAGATGATGTCTTTAAACTTAAATTTAATAATCCTTGGGTCAACAATCTAACGTTACCTAATTCCATTCTTGCAAATTTCTACCTCTATCCATCTAAATTGGAACTAGATTTTTCTGATCGTCATAGTTCAGAATTTATTTGGTATAAAGGCAAAATGCCTAAATCTAATCGCGAAAATGAAATAGAGTGGGAAGAAATTGGGAGAGGATATTCTTTGCTGGTTAAAAATGAAGAAATTGGATATAAAATAAAGCTTAAAGTAACTCCAAAAAGTTTAGATCAATTAAAAACTGGTCCAGAAGTTGAAGCGATTTCAAAATGTGAAATTCAAGCTGGGCCTGGATTTTGTCCCTTTGAAGAACGGAACCTTTATACAACTGAAAAGTTGAGTGGAAATGCAATTCGTATTACTTCTTACAATATCCTTGCTGATTATTATGCCGATACAGAAGATGGAAGACAAAAGCTGTTTAATTATTGTGCACAATATGCTATAGATATTGATTATAGGAAGCAGTTACTGATAAAAGAAATTATAGGCTACAATTCAGATATTTTATGCATGCAAGAAGTAGATTTTAAAGTCTTTGATCTTGATTTTATTCCTTTTTTGGGTGAACAAAACATGAATGGTGTTCATAATAAGAAAGGAACGACACCGGAGGGTCTAAGTACATTCTACAGAACTGATCGTTTTGAATTAATTGAAAATTATGGAATGAATATTGGTGATACAGTAAAGTCACATCCTGCATGTCAAGATCTATTTTCAAAGCTTCAGTATAATCAACAATTAGTTACACGCTTCACAGACCTTGCCACAACACTACAAATTGTTCTATTGAAGTTAAAAGAATTCCCAAATAAGTACTTTATCGTAGCCAACACTCATTTATATTTCCATCCAGACGCTGATCACATCCGTTTACTACAAATTGGTTTTAGCATGATCCTTGTTGAAGATTACATGAAAAAGTTTAAAGAAAAGTACGTAACTGAAAATATTTCTCTATTATTCTGTGGAGATTTTAATTCTGTTCCTGAATGTGGGATCTATAAATTAATGACCGAAGGATATGTGCCTGAAAATTTCATAGATTGGTCTAGTAAACAAGAAGAAGCCGTTAAAAATGTTGAACTCAATCAACCTTATAAAATCAAGTCAGCATGTGGAACTCCGAAATTTACAAACTATACTGTTGGATTTCAAGACTGTCTTGACTACATCTTTTATCAAACCGATAAATTTTGCGTCACCAAAGTCGTTGAAATGCCGAGCGAAGAGGATTTAAGTTTGCACAATGCGATTCCATCTGTCGTTTTTCCTAGTGATCACATTGCTATTATAGCTGAGCTAGACATTATACCTTAATTATGTCCAAAATATGACATATTTTTCTAAAGTTTCTGTAAGGGGTCTTTCACTTATGACGTCCGAATTTAACGGTCATTTTTCATAAAAGAGGAATTTCTACTGTTCTTTTCTTGCTGACCCCCCCCCCCCCCCCCCTGGACGTCATAAGTGAACGGCCCCTAATAAGAGAACTCAATAAATAGAACTTTTAATTAAATAAATTTATAACGGTCTTATCGTAAAATTTTCAAAAATTTGTTTCGTTAAGTTTTTGAAATACTTTCTGACCGTTATTTTTCAGAATTTTACGTTTTAAGCGTGGTCTTAAATAAATGTTTATTAAAATAAAAATAAAATGCAGTGTCATAGTACATAATCAATAAGTTAAGAAATTAATCAAATTAAATTTGTGGCATAGACTTTTGATTTCTAATCGGCATAATTTCAGTGTCATTTAAATCCGAGAAATCTCCTCTCAATTTTCTTAATCTCATTTCTAAATCTGAAATATCAACATCTGGCTTATTCTTGACTTCACTGGCCTTTGGTTCTTCGTCCTTTTTATTTTCCTTAATTAAATCCATCAATTCACTTTCGATGTCTGACTCGTCAATTTCATTTAAACCTCGCATTGGTGCACTTAAAGCTGATTGACATTCTTCTTGATCCTCAATAACTTCCTTCATATCCTCAATAATGTCATAGACACTGTCAAGATTAATTCCGTTATTTGCAAAAATGTGTTTAATTGAATCAGATCCCATTTTATACATTTGAATAATTTCCTTGTCACTTTTTGAGTTCTGTATTTTGTGCAGCATTGTCTGAATGTTTTCAAGTATATTCATCGTTTTAGTCAGTTCCGATTCACAGACATGTTTCTTTCTTAAAAATGTCTTTGCCATTTGTTTTTTTCCTTCAGCTAAGCATGTCTTTACTTGCGTCAATAATTCGTTTAATTGCTGTTCCTTCTTATTAATTGTATCCAGTAGATATTTTTCTGTATTTTCTAAATTATAAATTGAGCGTTCCATTTCAGTTATTGGTAACGCAACTTGATGAGGTTCAGAGAATTTTATTAAAAGTTTGTGATGATTACTATCGGCTCCTTGATCAGTTCCAATAAAATGCTTATTCTCTTCGATATATGCGGACTTTGTATAAACACTTAAATGCTGTAAAGCCATTAATATTCCTTCTTTAGATAATCCATCTATATTTTCGGCACTTAACATTAAGTCATCCATAGCAATAATATTATTAAATGTGTGTTTGTTTCTAACATGCTCTTGAAGCAATCTTGCTTGCTTTTGGACGGAACTTTTGACTATAAAAACTGTATCAGGATTTGCAGTAGATCCAACCACCTTCTCTTTAATTTTATTGAATCCCCAAGAAGCAGGCTTATAAATTAAGCTATCAACCATCCACGATCCCCAAGTAGCTTTAGGCACTGCCATAAAAACGCTTTTATCCTGTAAATTTCCTTCATACATCATCTGGTTGAGAATCTCTTGAAGACAGTAAGGAGAAGTTCCTTTTCTCTTGAAAACATCTTTTAATTCATTAATTGTGATCGTTGATGCGCCTACATTAATTAAATAACTAGTTAATTTATGTCCAAAATTTGAAAATCTATTCTATACCTTTATATTCACAATAACATTCAATTAAATCCTTCCAAAACTGCATTTTCTGCTCGTAATGCTCTGGATTGACGTTTCGTGGTCGAAATGGATACATCATTGCTGACATTACTTTATCATCCTTCCAAATATCTATAAAATAAATAAATTCATAAAACTATTGCGTATAAAAATGAAAACAATAGAAAAGTCAAGTTTTCTCATCTGATTAAGTTTACCTGGATAAAAATCTGCATCCAGAACATATAAATTGTTAGCTGCCATAGTCTTCCTGTTACTTTTACTGCTATTCATTGTTAAAAACTCAATTTAATTAACTTTTTGATTCTGGGTGATTTTTCAAAACAAATGTACCGATTTTTGACAAGCTCGTTATTAACTTCCACGCAAAAAAGCATGTTGAAAATCATCAATGGCTCAAAAACGACAAGACAACTCCTGTGTCTTAGGGGCCGTTCACTTATTACGTTCGAATTTTAAGGGGGGGGGGGGTTATAAAATTGTAACAAAATGTAACATGGGGGGGGGTCAAGAAGTATGTAACGTTCTAACTGTCGCCTGTCTTTAAAAAAAAAGTTCACAAATTCAAACCAAAAACATTTTTTTAAATTTTCCACCTTTTTAATGATATAATAAATTATGAACGTTCAGTGGGGGGGGGGGGGGGTGTGAGTTGTAACATATTGTAACAAGGGGGGTGGGGGGTGAAAAAAGTCGTTTTTTTGCGTAACGTATTAAGTGAACGGTCCCTTATCTTTTATTTTTGTAATTGTAAGCTAGGCGTGGAAGTTCATAACTCTCTACGTAAATCGTGTTTTTTCGCAATCAAAATTCAAAAAGTTCGAACTTGAAAAATTTTAAAGGTCGTTATAATAAATTGGCGTTAAAATAAGGTGTTTATTAAAAAGGAATAATTAAGGTATGATTACAAATAATTAGCAATTTGAGACATATCCTCAACATTTTCATTATCATCGTTCCAATCCATTGATGCAATTTGTGAAATTTCGGTTTGAGTTGCGTCTTGTCTTGCCTTCCATTGAGTTAACAATTCTTCTTCGTGCTGTGACAATTTCCAAAGTTCCTCATCAAAATCGTGTTCTTCCTTAATTCTAGCATCCATTTTGCGTTTAAATTCTTGTTGTTTATTCATCTGTACTTGCTTACGATTATTAAAGTTTGATTGTTGCGATGTTGGAGTACTTTTCTCTTTAGCCAGTCTATTTCCCATAATTATTTGACTGTATTCAAAGTATGCATTTGGATGAGTAATTCCTTCATCAAGTTTAGTCTCATGTACAGCTTCAAAATAGCGTCCACAAGCAAGTTGAAAATGACCTTTACTAGCATAACTTACAACGTCTTGAACTGCCATAGCATTTAATCCATAAGTTGTTAACTTTGATCTTAATTCTATTGTATCCCATAATTTGAAAGGACATCCATGTATATCTTGTGGATTTGGGGCTGTATTAATAACTTTCATACATGAATAAGGTGACCAATTTGTTCGTGAACCTTCTTTGCCGTAATTATAACGAATTCCATAAGCATAAGTCTTGTCAAATTTATCCGGTTCTATATTTTTAGTGAATTCTTCACGCCAAAACCGCAATGAGTCTTCGAGAGTAACTCCGATACCTTTCAAGAATAATCCATACTGAATTCGACCTCCATGCTTCAAATGATGTGTGGTTCTAAGTGAATCATGGCACATTCTCATGCACAAAGGATAACTTTTTAAAGACAATTGATTGAGACTTTCGATTGGTATATCTGCTTCCTTATTGACTGTATAATCCTTTCCAACATATGATGTATGCAAGCCTTTAATAATACCAACAATTCTCTCATCATTCTCAAATTCCGGTAATAACTTTAAATGTGACATTAATCCCTTTTCGATAAACTTTTGATGATGACCTCCAATTATACTGCTAAAATCCATAGAACTAACATAAGCATATCCACCTTTTAAGAAGCATTTTCGTTGACGAACAAGATCCAGAACTGACAAGAAATTAACTTTATAGAAATCAACATTATCGACACTTCCAGTGACCATATTCTGTAGTTCTTGTCTTATTTCATTCTTTTGCTCATCGTTTATGGGACGATATCCCATCTCATAAATTTCAATGAAATCCTTAATTTCTGAAGAGCTCAGTGCACTAAACTTGAACCGAAACAGCTCCATTTCACGAGCCATAAACCATCTATATAGTATGAAAAAATTACTTTAATCAATTATTGAAGTTTAATATTAAGCAAATTGAATTACCTTCTTAGTTCCTCGCTGCGACAATATGCAAAACGGAGAATAAAGTGCGATAAATAGTCTCGTCTTCTAGATTGTTTGTCCTGATCTGTGTTTCCATTGCCTTTAATTAATCTTACGAAATACTTTAATCCTTCTAAATTCAACTCATTGATTATATGCTCTTTCCATTCATCTGACAATATTTTTGGATATTTTAATCCAGCTTGCTCGAGAATTCTTAGCAATTTCAGTCTTTCAATAGCCAGTTCCTCAAAATCCTTTAAACTTACATCGTTTTGTGGTGGTACAATGTAAAACATACAGTTATGTGGTGCAAATCGATCAATTGACTCCTCGTCTGGAGTCTTTAAAGGCTTAATCTTGCTGCGTTTTGGAAAATCCATCTTCAAGTGTCACTGATTCTCTTTATAAGTGTTGTAGACTAAAATTGTTCTGAGGAGATTATTGTCGAAATTCGCATTCCCGCTCTTTTTCTCAGGGGTTTGATATCTGTAAGACCCTTCGCTAGCTGCTACTTGCTTAATTAAATTAACTGAACTATCGATTTGATTTCAAGAACACGAGGTAATCATGAACAGTAACCGTTAAATTTTGAACTTTTTGAAAATTTCAAAATTCAACGTTCATAATATAAACAAACCTAAAACTTTGTTCAAAAAACAAATTCAATTAAATTCTGCTAGCTAGATGCTTATTGCAATTCATTCCTCCTGTCAAAAGTAATTTGAAACCTATCGTAAAATACTATTAGATATCAAACCCCTGAAAAATGAGCGGGAATACGAGTTTCTTGCAAGCATTTTTTTTCTCGACTTTGTTATTAAAATAATTTAATTATTTTGTAATATTCTGTTGTTGTTTTTGTTCTTAACTATCACTAATTATTAAAACAAGATAAGCCAAAATGTCACAGAACGGAGTAAGTACAAATTAGCTGCAAATAAATGAAATATGCAGGATTATAACTTTTGCTTACAATTTATAGCATCCAAACGATGATGTTGCTTCTCCAGCTACCAATTATGAGTCTGTAGCAACACCAAGATCCAATCGTGAAAACTCTCCAGTTGATGACTTTGAGCCTTTTGAAAATGAAGCTGAATTATTAGGAGAATTAACAGCTGACGAAGATGAATCTGAAGGAGAAGATTTGTTTGGCGGTAATATGGAAAGGTAATACATACTGTAAAGCATATATCAACTGTATTTTAAAAAATACAATTATTATTATTAGAGATTACATGCCAAATCCAAATCTTGATCGCTATGATCCAGAAATGTTGGATGATGAAGAAGGATTCAGTGTTATGAGTGACTCTGAAAGACGAGCAGCTGAAATGGAATTGAATAGACGTGACAGAGCAGCTGGAATTCACCGTGATGATCGTGATTTGATATATGATAAGAGTGATGATGAAAGTGACATTCCAAGTCACAAAAGGAGAGCTGCAGAAAAGGCAATTGAGGGAGCCGAAATTGATGAGGAAATGATTGAATCAATTGAGAATTTGGAGGATACAAAAGGACATACAATTAAAGAATGGGTCTCAATGTTGGGTCCTAAAACTGAGATTGCTAATCGATTCAAGAATTTCTTAAGAACTTATATTGATGAAAAAGGCCAGCATATATATCGCGATAGAATCAGAAAAATGTGTGAACAAAATAAATCTAGTTTTATCGTAGTATTTTCAGAACTTGCTCATCATCAACACGTCTTAGCTTATTTCTTACCTGAGGCTCCTCAACAAATGTTGGAAATTTTCGATCAAGTTGCTAAGGAAATGGTATTATCGATTTTCCCAACTTATGAGCGTGTCACTAATGAAATTCATGTAAGAATATCGGAACTTCCTCTCATTGAAGAATTAAGAACATTCAGAAAACTTCATTTAAATCAATTGGTACGAACAATGGGAGTTGTAACAGCTACAACTGGAGTTTTGCCTCAATTATCAGTCGTTAAATATGATTGTGTTAAATGTGGATATATTATTGGACCTTTCGTACAAAATCAAAATTCTGAAGTAAAACCTGGATCATGTCCTGAGTGTCAGTCTGCGGGTCCTTTCTCAATTAATATGGAACAAACTCTTTATCGAAATTATCAAAAAATCACATTACAAGAATCTCCGTCAAAAATTCCACCTGGTCGAATTCCTCGAAGCAAAGATTGTATTTTATTAGCTGATTTATGTGATCAGTGCAAACCTGGCGATGAAGTTGAAGTTACTGGCATTTATACAAACAATTATGATGGATCCTTAAATACAGATAATGGATTTCCAGTATTTGCAACCGTTATAATTGCCAATCATATTTTAGTAAAAGATTCAAAGCAAGTTGTAAGTTCTCTTACTGATGACGATATTGCAACAATTCAACGTTTAAGCAAGGAACCAAGAATTGCTGATAGAATTGTTAACAGTATGGCACCATCTATTTATGGACATCAATTTATTAAGCGTAGTTTAGCATTAGCATTATTTGGTGGAGAAGCTAAAAATCCAGGTGAAAAGCATAAATTGCGTGGAGATATAAATCTCTTAATTTGTGGTGATGCTGGTATGGCTAAATCACAATTTTTAAAATATGCAGAAAAGATTGCACCACGTGCTGTATTTACAACTGGTCAAGGAGCTAGTGCTGTCGGTCTTACTGCTTATGTTCGCCGAAATCCAATTTCTAAAGAATGGACGTTAGAAGCTGGTGCTTTAGTTTTAGCTGATCAAGGAATATGCTTAATTGATGAGTTCGATAAGATGAATGATCAAGACAGAACATCAATTCATGAAGCTATGGAACAGCAATCAATTAGTATTTCTAAAGCTGGTATAATTACATCATTGCAAGCACGCTGTGCAGTTATTGCTGCTTCTAATCCAATTGGTGGACGTTATGATCCAAGTTTAACTTTCTCGGAAAATGTAAATTTATCGGAACCAATTTTGTCTCGTTTTGATATTTTGTGCGTTGTTAAGGATGAATTTGATCCAATGCAGGATCAGCGCTTAGCAGATTTTGTCGTCAGATCGCATATTCGTCATCATCCATCAAACGAAGATCAAGAAAATGAGCCGATGGAAGATGTTAATGAAATGGAATTGCCACAAGACTTGCTAAGAAAATACATTGTTTATTCAAAGGAAAATGTCAGACCAAAATTATCGGTAAGTCACTAATGCCTGTAAATTTTATAACCGTCTTGATTTATTTGAATTTAAAACCGTCATATTATATTTAAGTTTTGAACTAGATTTGAATATTTAACTGAAAATTTTGAACCTCTTGGATAATTTGAATTTTAAACGTTAAAATTAATTTCATTTTCTTTATTTGCAGAATATGGACCAAGATAAGATAGCAAAAATGTATTCACAATTGCGTCAAGAATCTCTTGCTACTGGATCATTGCCAATTACTGTTCGTCATATTGAATCAGTCATTCGCATGTCTGAAGCACACGCAAGAATGCATTTAAGAGATACAGTACAAGATGTTGATGTAAATTTCTCAATTCGTATGATGCTTGAAAGTTTCATTTCTGCACAAAAGTTCTCCGTCATGAAAAAGATGCAAGTCACATTCCAAAGATATTTATCGTTCCAAAAAGATTACTCGGAATTATTATTCTTTATTCTCCGTCAACTCACATTGGATCAACTTGCGTATATACGCTTAAAACAAGGTCCTACAGCAACTCATGTTGAAATTCTGGAAAAAGACTTATTGGAGCGTGCCAAACAAATTGATATACACAACTTGAGCAAGTTTTATGACAGTGAGATCTTTAAGAATAATGGATTTTCATTCGACAGTAAGCGAAAAGTTATTTTACAAATTGTACCCGAAGCTGCAACATTTAATTAATATTACCATACTTAATGTTAAGTTAAACAAGTATTTCATCTCAAACTCATTTTTTTTTCAATAGCTTCACATCTCATTTGTAAGTTTTTTACATTCTTAATTATACAATAAAGTTATTTTCAAGTTTCAAACATCTTTTTGTTGATGTCAATACTCTTATTTTTTTGTCTGATCAAATATTGATTACTATCCGTAAGGGGCTGTTCACTTATTACGAAAAAGTTACTTCTTAGACCCCCCCCCCCCTCGTAACAAAATTTGTATGAAAAAAAAATTTCCTTGTGGGGCCATTCACTTATTACGTAACGCTTTTAGGGGGGGAGGGGGGGTCTAAGATTTTGTTACGGTTCAAACAAGGAAATTTTTTTTTCATACAAATTTTGTTACGAGGGGGGGGGGGGGGGTCTAAAAAGGCATTTTTTCGCGTTACGTAATAAGTGAACAGCCCCTGTTTGAACCGTAACAAAATCTTAGACCCCTCCCCCTAAAAGCGTTACGTAATAAGTGAATGGCCCCTAAGTGTAGACCTATCTTAGATATGAATGTATTTTTTACGAACCTTTGAAAGAAAACAGATCAGTGTATAGTATAGATTGGTACCCAGTAATAACGCCGACACGGAATAACTGCACCTATTAAAAAAAACACGGTACCGGAATAATATCGAAAATATTTTTTGCTCAGGTCGGTAATAACTTCACCTGTATAATGTAGGTGAAGTTATTCCGGCGTCGCGACGGAATAATTTCACCTACTTAATATAAGTGAAGTTATTACCGCTTCATACCGGAATAACTTCACCTACATAATATAGGTGAAGTTATTCCGTCGCGGCGGCGGAATGATGCCGAAAAATATTGTATGTCGACTTTATTCCGTCACTGTGCAGGAATAACTTCACCTATATTTATATATATTAATGTGATAAATTTCTGAATTATCACGCTTTCCAGAAACTATAGAAAAATCCATTTTTAATTAAATTTCACACAATATAAAAGATCAACAAAAAAAATTAACTGAACGAACTAAGTCAAATTTGTTGTCAATTGTGTTCAAACAATAAACTTAAGCCATTGAACATCAAGAATGACACGAAATAATCTTAATGTGCTGCATACCATGTTTGTTTTTTTTTGCGAAAAAAGGGAGCATTAAAGTAGTTAAAATTTTGGTGATGTAAATTTTGGTGATTATCATTCAACGGAAACTTTAAAAATGAAGTGTTTCAAAAATGCAATTTAACTAAGCTAAAACTTTATGAAAATCAGAAAGACATATTCATTTACTTCTATATTTTTACAAACAACGTTTCAATATAAGAAATTGTTGTTAATTAAAGTAAGGAGACATAAATTTTCATCAGAAGGAATCTGTTGCATAGGATAGACAGAATAATTCTGCAGAATTCTGCTCAACAGTTGCGCAACAATTCAATGTTGCGTGACATGGATGTAACAAAACCAGAATAATTCTGAAGAACTTATTTTTATTCTGCAGAATTTTTCTGCTAAATTTTTTTCAGAATTTCACAAAACAAATCAGAAACATTTTTTTCCAAATTCTCCATAATTAAAATTTCTGATAAACAACTTTATGAGAATGTGATTAAAAACACAATTACAAATTAATATGGAAATTAAAATAGGAGTACAACATTTTTCAGAGTTCTGAACACAATTCAATTCAATTTCAATTTATTCATGTTAAATTGTGCAACAGTGTGCAACCTTTAAGCGCTACACTTTTATTTTTAACATTAATTGTTGTATAATAAGAAAATCATAGTAAACATGATATGAAATCCAGTTAATAAACATATCTCAAAGATATAACATTAATAATTCTTAAATCTTTATTATGTACGCTAGCTCAGTGTTTAGCGCATAATCTTCACTAAGCAGTTGTGTGTCTAGTACCCAATTAAAAACTGTTATAGATCTTTACAGCTCTCGTATCTTCCTCATTCTGTCTACATAATTCTTGACTCATTTCCACATCTCACATTGCCTAATTCTTAGTTTTACGTCTTAAACTGCTGCACCTAAGAAGCCGAAGTATCTAAACTTCTGAAAATCACTAGGCTGGTGATGGGATTTGAATCCGAGAGTGCAAATTCGACTCGAAATTTTGTGACCTGTACCTTGCCAATTGAGCAATAAAAATCTAGTAACTTTACTTTTAAAAATAATCGTGTCGAATTCGATCTCGAAAATTGAATATTCAAAAATTTCATCAAATTTTCTACGCTTTTGTATATAATCTTCAATTGAAGTTTTAATAATGAATAATTTTTTGGAACTATTCAAGGCTTTAAACCAGAGGAGCGAAAGGAAAATATTGGCAAAGTCAAAAACAATTCCTTATCAATTCTGTTTCAAACTTAGTGAAACACTGAAAAATGTTGTACTCCTATTTTAATTTCCATATTAATTTGTAATTGTGGAAAAACAAAGTCTTTAATCACATTCTCATAAAGTTATTCATCAGAACTTTTAATTATGCAGAATTTGGAAAAAATGCTTCTGATTTGTTTTGTGAAATTCTGAAAAAAAAAATTCAACAGAATAATTCTGCAAAATAAAAATAAGTTCTTCAGAATTAATCTTCAGAATTATTATGTTGTTCTCAGAATTATTCTGCAGAATTTATCAGAATAATTCTGCAGAATTGTTGCGAAACTGTTGAGCAGAATTCTGCAGAATTATTCTGTCTATCCTATGCAACACACCCTTATCTATCATTTGATATGCATGTGATGAAACAAAAAGTTTGTTGAATGAAATTTCGATTTTTTGCTGAAATTTTTTAAAAAGTCATCCAAAGAATTGCCCATTGCCCTTTTGCTTTGCTTTTGTTCAGAAAGCAAGCAATAGCATCCAAATTTTATCGTTTTACATAAGTATATTAAGTCTCTGGAACGTTTAAATTGCTGAAAATTGAGAAAAATTATTTCAAAAACGAGATTGCCCATTTGTAAATTTCAAATTGTATTACGAATTCACTGCCACATCTATATAAATATAGGTGAAGTTATTCCTGCACAGTGACGGAATAAAGTCGACATACAATATTTTTCGGCATCATTCCGCCGCCGCGACGGAATAACTTCACCTATATTATGTAGGTGAAGTTATTCCGGTATGAAGCGGTAATAACTTCACTTATATTAAGTAGGTGAAATTATTCCGTCGCGACGCCGGAATAACTTCACCTACATTATACAGGTGAAGTTATTACCGACCTGAGCAAAAAATATTTTCGATATTATTCCGGTTTGATGTTGTGGAGTTATTCCGTGTCGGCGTTATTACTGGGTATCTATAGATTACTGATTAAATGCCGCACGTGAAAAGTACATTGCAATATTTGAAGAGAACAAAAAAAGAATCTGGTTTAATTGTATGCGTAATAAACTTTTTATTTTGGCCCGTCAATAACAAAATTTTTCAGTAAATAAAGAACCTTTGAACTGAGAACATCTGGTGAATAAAGTGTAGCAATGTACCTCATAAGTTTCTTTGTTCTTGCTGTGATTACTTTCATTTCTTGGTATCAAATTAAGTACCGTCGTCGGAATTATTTGTTGTCTAAAATTCCAGCACCAAAGAAGTTGCCAATTTTCCATCACTTAATTGAGTTTATTGGAAAAGATGCCAAGGATGTTTTCGATTGGCTTGAAGAACAAGGAAATAAATTTAGTCCTGTGTATCAATTTACAGTTTCACCTTTTGATCCAGGCTGTGCTGTTGTTTCAGATGTAAAAATCATTGAGTCACTTTTAACCAGTCAAGTTTTGCTTAATAAAACGGTGGATTATGATTTACTTGTTCCTTGGATTGGCACTGGATTATTAATTTCAACTGGAAAAAAATGGTTTCAAAGACGAAAGCTCCTTACTCCTGGTTTTCATTTCCAAATTCTCGAAAAGTTTGTGGACATCATGAATGAGCAGGCAAAAGTGTTTGTTAAACAGCTAGAGAAGCATGACGGAAAATTTGTAGATGTATTTCCACTTGTGAATTTGTATGCTTTGGACACAGTTTGTGGTAATTTCTTTGTCGTTTAATTTTAAAATTTCTTCACAAGGATCATTGACATTTTTTAGAAGCCGCAATGGGTATTAACATTAATGCGCAAACTACTGATTCTGAATATCTTAGAGCAGTCAAAGAGTGAGCATATAAAATCATTAACTTAGGGGCCGTTCACTTATTACGTTCGCATTTTAGGAGGGGGGGGGGGGGGGGTGTTTGAAAAATTGTAACCAAATGTAACATAGGGGGGGGGGGGGGTGTTAAGAAGTATGCAACGTTCTAACTGTCGTCTGTCTTTTTAAAAAAAAGTTCAAGAAAAAATTCACACCAAAAACATTTTTTTAAATTTTCCACCTTTTTAATGATTTATGAATGTCCAGATCACTTTTGATAGCTAAGCAATACATAGTTTTTGTTATATAAAGTAACAAATCAATAGAAAACTGATTTACAAGACTTTAAAACACAATCATAATTTGTGGAAATTTTCAAAATTAAATCAATCATAAGTTTAAAAGTAAATCTCTCTAAATCTGTCATTCATATGATGATTAATATGATCCTATCATTGTGATATTTACATTCAAAGTAGATCGGGCATAATATTTTTCATGACATTTTTGAATTTTCTTCAAAAAAAAAACAAATTTTTGCTTTATATCTCAATCCAATAATTCATGAGAATACTAATAGTATCAATCAAAACATGACCTATTAAGCTACAGTATTTTGATGTTTAAGAAAAAAAATACAGAAGAAATTTAACCGTCTTTTTTGAATAAAAATTATCAAAATAAAATAAATTATGAACGTTCAGGGGGGGGGGGGGGGGGGTTGTGAGTTGTAACATATTGTAACAAGGGGGGAGGGGAGGTGGTGAAAAAAGTCGTTTTTTTCCGTAACGTAATAAGTGAACGGCCCCTTATTGACTAAAGGTAATATTTTTTCAGGGTGACTTCCATTGCAATGATTCGATCATTTGATGAGACAAAAAGAAACCAATTCTTATTCCAATTTACCGACATGTATAAAAGAGAACAGCACTATATAAAAATTCTTCACGAATTTACTGATCGTGTCATACAAAGAAGAAGAGATGAATTACTAAATAATAATCAAGTTGATGAAACCGATGACGTAGGAAAGAAGAAGAAAAAAGCTTTACTTGATATTCTTTTAAGCTCAAGTATTGATGGACAACCTTTGAGTAATTTAGATATTCGAGAAGAAGTTGATACATTTGCTTTTGCTGGACATGATACAACAAGTAGTGGAATCAGTTTTACACTCTATAACATCGCAAAATATCCAGATGTACAGCAGAAAGTGTATGATGAAGTTCTTGAGATCATTGGAGATGACGAGGAATTGACTGTACAAAAATTGAACAATTTGCAGTACCTCGACTTGGTTATTAAGGAATCGTTAAGACTCTTTCCTCCAGTACCTTATTATGGCCGTAAATTATCTGAAGAATTAACAGCAGGCGGCTATACTTTTCCAAAAGACATGAATGTTTATGTCTCACCGTACTTATTGAGCAAAAATCCAGAAATTTATCCTGAACCTGAAAAATTCAATCCACATCGCTTTGAAGCTGAAAGAAGCTATGATAAAATTAATCCTTTCTCATATGTTCCATTTTCAGCTGGATCCCGAAATTGTATTGGACAAAAGTTTGCACAGCACGAGCTTAAAGTAATTGTCTCGACAATTGTCAAAAACTTCAAGCTGACTTTAGACAAAAAACAAGAGAATTTGACATTAACAGCAGAACTTATTTTACGTCCTGTTGATGGAATCAATATCTATGTTGAAAAGCGTAATTAAATAGAATTTAAGAATCATTTAAAGTGCTGCTTTTATGATTATTCAATTTATAGTTCCGATCTTATTTTATATCAATTTTTTAAGAAGCAGATGAATTAATTTTAGGACGTATGTCCCAGTATGTTCAAATTTGTTTAATTTTTTTGTTGATTGATATAAATAGACCTGACATCTAAGAGGTCGTTCATAATCAAGCTTTTGATAATTGTTTGATTATTTCAGAGGTTTAAAAATAGTCTTTGAAGGATGAATAAAACAGAGGATTTTTAATACTTCCACAGGAATATCCAATAATTTTTATAAGTTTATTTTATTTTATAGTTTAAAAAGTGTATTTGATATCGTTATAGAACGAAGAATATTTCTAGATATCGTACATCTATCAATTTAGATGTCTTAAAAAATTTTATATAGTCATACGTAGTTATATTTATCTAAATCTATATGGAATGCAGGAAAATCACAAAACAACTTTTGCATATTTCGACTAATTTCTTAGCAAAATAAAAAATAAAGCAAATATAAGAATTTGTGAATCACAGAAAAAGTATTAAGCAGTTAAAAAACAACAGCAAATATTAGAAACATGTAAATACTATAAAAGGTATGAGTAGGTATTTTTTTTTTTGCTTAAATCATGCTTGTTAATGCCTGCACTCGTTTTGCATTGCAATTTTTACACAATACATGGTCATCTAATGGAAAACATCCGCGACCTTCTGCTTCTGATGATAGAAGTAACCCGCAATCCTTAAAAAAAATTAATTGTCTTAAAGCATGTCCAATTAAAGTCGTAAACAATGCTTACCTCGCATTTATAACAGTTTATATGGAAGCTTCGATCTAGTGCGACAACACGAATAGTTTCTTCTTTATCTGGCTCTGGCATAATTGGTAGCTTACACACTGAACAACGTGGTGCAAATCGTCTATAAAAACAAACAAACAAATAGAAATTAGTTTCTATTCTCACAACATATATTATTTATATGCTAATGCTCAACTCACTTATGGAAATCTTCGATGCAGTGAATTTTATTTGTTGCATCGACTGTAAATGGAATTCCATCAAGACTTTTTCCACACACGACACAAGTAAAACATGAAGGATGGTATGGTTTTCCTGTTGCCCTTAAAATGCGCTCACAAATTGGAGTAAGACAAACACAACACTTCTCCAATGTATTTAAATAATCTTCCTCACAGAATGGCTTTCCATCGATTGGATAAAATGGCTTTCCTCGTAGGCTAGTTTGGCATTGTTCACAAGTAAAACATGCAATGTGATAAATTTTTCCCATTGCCGTACATCCTGAAGATTCACTAACGATTCCATTACATTTACAACAAGTTCCGTATGATGCATAATCAGGATCAGCATTTGATTGATGCATTGATTGAACAAGTAAGTCTGTAAGGGCATCGACTTCAGTTTCTTGTGTGATGATTGGCAATCGATTCATGGATGAACTATTGCTACATAATCCATCATACGGTGCATAAAGTGAATAATTTGAGCGAGATGACATTTGGGACGGTGGACGTGGATTAATTGGTTCATAAATGGACTCATATGTCGTTGAATTCTGAGATGATGGACCATAAATGCCATAGTCATTTGAATAAGTATTATTTTTAATGTGATGATTAGCACTAACATTACCAATTCTATATTGGTGATTAATTGGTGCTGGCATAATTGTTGTTGCATAACAATTTCCATCAGTCGCACGTCTCAGTTCCGAATAAGAGGAACTAACGGGAGACGGAGGTGCGAATGGAAATTCCTCATCCTGATCACCACTCAACACATCTAAGGGCGGTGGTGGATGGATAATATTTGAATAAATCATTTTACTTTCACTCATTGGCGCTTGATTATTTATATTTTCATAAAATTGTAACTTTTGTCCATTCGCAATTGCATTTTGGTAGACGCACTTATTATATTCCAAAATTTTCTTTCGATGCTCAAGTGCTTCTTTCTTTAACTGAAGCTCAATAGCGTCGTCAAGTGTTTTATTTGGAGTTTTTCCCTCGTATTGAGAATTGGCATAAATGTGTGACTCATCAGTTGGTGCACCTGTTGTTGCCAAAGGTGTCACGTATGACGGCTTACAAATTTTATCAATATTCGTACTTCTTGGAACTAATGGAGTCGACACATCATTCTACAAGAATTAAAATTATTTTGTTTAACATTTTAATTTAAATTTACAAATTAATGTGACATGTGACAATGTTTTACCTTTCGTGGCTTTGGAGGAACAACTGCAATGAAATTAAAATTTATTATTATTATGAATTTAAATGACATTGATTTTCAATGTTTTATAAAATACCTGGGGCTTTCTTTGTATTGTTACCCGGTTGACTATAAATTTGATTAATTCCTATATCTTTGTTTTGATCAAATTTCGCTTTAATTAAGTTGAGTTTCTGTAAATTTTCAGTCAATTCATCCATCCTTAAATTGAATTTCAATTAAAATTCCTAAGATATGACTCAATTTTTCCTGGTATAAAAATGACACCTTTTTGATAAGCTAATATTTTTGGAGATAAAATGTAGCACATACAATTTAGACGTCTATAAAGACAATTAGCTTGCACGCTCCACTAAAACCCACTGCGCGAAAACTTTTGATATAGACAGTTTATATTGGAAAAGAAAATTTAAACAATTTCATTTAATTTTTCTAGAAAACAGTTCTTACTGTCTTCTTTTTCACAATAAACTTGTCTTTGTCGAACCCTGGCACGTCTGTCGAAAGAAATGATTTCGATAATTCGAATAAGCAGTTCAAAAGATGTCGTTATGGAAAGCTCATGAGCAGCTTTAGATGTGCTTATTGTTCTGTTAATGAACAGCCATGACCTGACACAATGATATGCATAAAAAGCTTAAGACTTAAGACTTAATGACTTGATTACTTAAAATTGATTTTTATATTTGCCTGATTGAATTTAGTAAGGAAGTGATTTTTTAAGATTCTATCAAGAATAAAAGAAATAAGCCATTGTTTTTGCAGATTATACAAGTATAATATTTAACAAACAAATAACGATAATCAATTCCCCAAAAACGAAGTTAAAGTAAACAGAGGTATGGAAGTGTCGTTAAAGTTTGATAATCAGGAATAAGAAAGACGGGATTGTTTAAAGATTTAATACAGTCTTCTAAACCAGTGTTGTCCACACTGTGTGCCGTAGAAATTTTTTGCAAATGATGCTAGCCGCATGCTGTGTGCGACTTTGGCATTGGCTTACCCCTAAGGTGTGCCTTGGATTAAAAACGTTTGGACAACTCTGTACTAAACAAATAATCAAATTCAGCAAAGTGTGAATGAGATCGCAACAGATACAGATAAACCTTTTCAAAACGTCAGGGTTTTTTGAGACTCAATAGGAAAAAAAGCTTTAAATTGCAGGGAATTTATCTGAAACTATCGCTTACCCAACCTTAAAGTTTCCATTAAATACGCACTTGAACTTGATAATAATGCAACAAAGTAATTTATTATTGCCAGTACTGAACATTCTGATTTTGACTCTGTTAAGTATTCATAAATAATGCATAAAAAGACTTCAAATGTGTTAAGTAAGTTTTAGGGGATTTTCATATCTATAGTCTAGATATAAGGTTTGAAGTTACTTAATGTTTGAACATTAAATATTACAAAAATCTAGGCAGAGTAGATAAGTGTGAAATAAAATGAATTAACAATTAAGAACTTCTTAGATCTGAATAAATTATAATAGAATGAATCTTGAAATCAATTGGTCAATACCATTGAGATAAAAAAGGTTTCAATGAATAAGATTTCGCGATGGATTTTATAATCTTGCTTATTAGCACAATTGTCGATTCGTTAGAAGCTCCCGAACTCTTTTCTTCTTATTTTTTTTCCTTAAGAATTGCGATAATGCCTATTTGACTTAGACAAATTTCGTAATGATTTCGCGATATTCGGAATCTATATAAGACTGTTTCGTGGTTTGGAAAATTTATCAGTTGTTCTTTAGAATTATCGGAGTACTAAAGTCGTGAAGAAGTTTACCATAAAAAGTTATAAAAATGAAATTTTTAATTTTTGTAAGTCCGATTTCTTTCATATCGTTGACATTTTAACAAACTTGTGTTTTAAACAATCATTGAAGTCTTCTGAATAAGCAAATAATTTGTCATGACGTATATTAAGTTATGTGTTTGCTATGCTATTATTGACTTTGATGCTTCAAACGGATCTGTTAAAGAATCTGTTTTTCGTTAAAATTCTCAACAAGTCACACATTTTTTGAGCTGGCATTTTGTCAAAAAAAAAAAAAATAATAATAAGAAGGCTGAATAGAAAATGCGATAGACATTACATAATGTAAATGAATTTGAAGAGATGAAATTATTTTCGTAAATGACTTTGCAAAATCCAAGCGCTAAATATTGAAGACCATGTGAGAATTTGATTTGACAACGCTTGCTCACCTTTTGATTTATGGATTATTGGCACATAACTCTACATTATAGCAAAAAAAAACCTTTTCATATGCCCATATAAATTCCTGGAGATTACCGATTATTCAAATATTATGTTTATTGTAATAGTGTAATGTATTATGTCTATGTGAATTAAGACTAGACCGAAAAAAGTCCCGCTGCGATTCATTATGAAGATATCAATAAATTTTAAACCATTCATAAACTGAAATTGCTCATAAATGCTATTGAACAATTAGGCACACTTTTAATGTATTTTATCATCATTATTTCTATTCTCAAAGGCACTGTTTGTCGCATTTGCAATTGTTCTGGTTTCAGCAGCACCAGCCCATGATGAAACCATTGTTAACGATGTTGCTAAAGACGAAGGTAAGACTGAACATTAAGCATATCGTTAAGGACTTTTTAAATTAATTCTGAATCATTTCTTTCATAGCTGCAATTGTAATTTCTCCAAATGATGATCCTGAAAGTTTCATAAAATTATTGTTGATGAAGAAATTGCTTCTTTTCGGTAAATAAAGCCTACAACTCCAATGATCTGATGTTAAACGTTTTTATTATATAAAAATCACACAAGGAACTAATAAAGCTGCTCACCAATTATACAAATTTACTTTTTGTAAAGGAAATAAATACTTCTAACCTTATGATTACAATTGTAATTGAACCTTTTCTTTGTAACATTTGTTAATGAAAAAAATCAATAAAATTCTCACGTAATAAACCATAATTTTTTGGGATTTTTCTTTGGTGTCATCCACAAATTGAGTCTAATATGCTTCTTTTTTATCATCATCTCCTAAAACGACCGACTGAGGTCAAACGGCAATTGTGAATGACGCTCAATAATTTACAAATCATATTTAAAGTTTAACTTCTATCGCACGTGTATTTATTCAGTGATTCAAAATAACTACCTATATTTTGTTCATTTCATTCTCCTTTAGATCAATCAAGACATGAAAATATTTGGGTAAAAATTTGAAATTTAAATATTTATGACGTAATCTTCTTTTTCAGTGACACAGATGAAAATTCGATAAATCAATAAAGAAGCGGCTGCATGAATTTTGGTATAGTCAACATTAATGCTTATCAATAGACTTTTTATGAGACAATGCATATATGTATGTTGAGGCAGGCTATGTTGGGCAAGGGTTTACAAGATATTAAATTTCAGTTTCATCATTATGTTTATAGGAAAATCAAGTCCATGAAGACCGAAATATGAAAAATATAACCATAAATGATAATAAAATAAATTAAAGCATATTCATTGACCACAAATATATTTTTATGCCAACGGATAATCGCTTTAGATTGAGATCGATTAAGTAATCGAATTTATTTGCTGGAAGATTATACAAATAGATTTTTAATTGATTGATCTGGGTCTATTGGGTAAATGAGAAATTTCTTTGCTCTAAGCATACCGAATAAAAAAAATCTTAAAGTTTGCATAAGTGATCTCTATAAACCCGAGCGGCACACAAGCGTCATATGACGGTCATATGATTGTCATATGACAGCCGTCATCGTCATAAAGACGTCATGAATGACGATCATATGATCGTCATATGATGATAAGACGTCATCACGACATCGTCTCGATTCGATTTATGACCCCATATGATGGTCATTTGACGAAAAATTCGTCACTCGACGATCAAATGAAAACGTCAATTGATGATCATATGACGATCAAATGACAAAATTACTATGGCGAGACGACGAGCATAAACCGTGATATATATGCTGAATTTTGACTGAAATAATTTTTTAAAATTTAACGAAAAACGTGTTAATTTGTGTAGAATAACTCTTAATTATATATATTTTAAATTATAAACATAGGCCATTACATTTAACATACAACATAATAATATAATGATTTAGGATTAATGATAATAACAATGGCTTGATAATAATGATGGATTAATAATGATAGACTATTGATATTCTTGATTTTTTCACTCATTTTCTTGATTTTCCTCGTCGTTAAATCGGTTTTGATTAGTCAACTTCAATTGCTTAGCTTGATTTTCTCTTCGTCGATTTAAATAAATTTTGACGGCTGTTGAAGCATCTTCCGCTGAGCTGTAAGTTCCAGGTAAATCAGCTTAAAAACTTTTAAAAAGGATTGAATATAATTTTCCTTCTTCTCACTTCAACTTCTCGAACACAAATGAAGAAAACAAAATTTTCACCCAAACTAGTGTATCGGGTAGAAACCCAATGCGGATTATATTTAAACCGTACTATCAAAGTCTTATGGATAGACCAAGATTTGCCCATCATAAGTATGAATGTATGAAGCTTGATAAGTCAACTTCGCTCAGCATAAGTTTGAAGTTATAAAGCTATCGAGTCAGCTGAGCTTCGCTTAGTATAAGTTTGAAGGTATAAAGTTTGACGAATATCCCAAACATTCGTATACTATATATTATAAAAATCACAGTGAACTTTTGTTTTGAAAAATTCATAAGAAAGGAAAGTTTTTTGTTTTTCTGAAGCAACGGCTGTTCCTACCTTGCCTAAAAACAATACAGCTCTTGTATAGAGCAGCACGGATCAAATGTAAAAAACTAGAAGTCTCTACGATGTCTCGTTATTGAGATTTCTTTCTTGTTTGCTTGTTTGCTTGTTTGCTTGCTTACAGAAAGCGTATTTTGCGATTTTCTCAGCAATGCCACAACCAATTTGAAATGTGTTTTTTGAAGGTGATGTAAAATTCCAGGCACAAACTGTTCATGTCTGAACATTTTAAGCTATCTTGCTCCATATCCTCACAAAATTCTAAAAACTTATTTTTCAATCTGAACAAAACCAATAGATTCACACGTGAAAACGGTGTGAATTTAAAAAATGGTAACTTTGATTACCATTGATAATTTTATGTCAAATTTTGCAATCATTTTGAAGATCATTTTGATGATAAGCATATCTATTTTTGCATTCAAAATTCGTTAGAAATCAGTGAGCATACATTGAATGAAAGCTCATTTACAAAATCTCAAAAAAATAATTCAGTAATTCAAAAAATTTTGTTCAATCATCGAAATTCCATTCAGAAAATAATTATCAGTTTTTACAGTGCAAAAACAGTTCAAAGAAAAAAGTTTAAGCAAAAAATACAATCGAAATTGGAAGAAAATCAAAAATTATCGCCATTCATGACTTTCATTTGATCGTCATATGATCGTCATATGATCGTCATATGATCGTCATAATATT